AGTGTAAGATTTGTATTATTGCTTTTATGTAAATAAATTTATAAATTTTAATAAAATTGAATTTCATTTAGCCCAAATTAAAATAAAAAAAAAGAGATATAAATCTATTAGTTTTAATATGAAATTGTCAAACGTATACAATAAAAATATATATTACCAATATTTTACATATTTTACTACCCGATATATGTGTGTTAAATGTATGATATCTATAATATATATCACTGATATTTTACTACCCGATATGTGTGTGTTAAATGTATGATATCTATAAGATATGTCACTGATATTTTACTACCCGATATGTGTGTGTTAAATGTATGATATCTATAAGATATGTCACTGATATTTGACTACCCGATATATGTAAGATGTGTATATGATATTTACATGATGTGTCACCGATTTTCTACATTTATACTACACATATCAGGTACCCGATATGTGTAGTATTGTTAAATATCATACATATATATTACATATATTATACACATATCAGGTATCTGATATGTACCCAATAGCACCAATTTTGACTAGTGCTATATTCAATCATAAACCATTTGTTGATATTGAATTTGACCTTTTGTGAGGAACCTTGTTCAGATTGTTTGTAAAAAACTTTGGTAATTGGACGGATAAGTTTACTAATATTTTTATCAGGGATATGTTCGAGATTCTTGATTTCTGACTGCTACATAAAGACTTCATGTGGGTTAGAGCAGAGGATAAAGTAACTGCAAAGATAACGTTTAGCTTGATCAAGGACACTCATACTTTTAGCAGCGTTAATGAGCCATTTAAGCTTATCGATACTGAAGGCCTTCTTTTGTTCACCAAATTTGGGAATAACTTGAGCTTGAGTGCTAGTTTGGGCAGTCATTTTTTTGTTTTATCAAATCGAGTACTAATTTATAGTTACCTAATCTTTAATTGCCGAATATTTTTTCCAAAAATCTGCACTCCTACCTGGTTACCCTCCTGTAGTCCTGTAGTCCTGCGGTCCTGCGGTCATGTGGTCCTCTGATCTTACCCAGTTATCTTCTAGGAGTAAAAAAAAACTATAAACCACAAACCTTTACGACTGCTCTAAATCTTCCCTTCCCCTTTTTCAATCCACATATATCTGAAATCCAAACCGCTCAAGAGCTTGTTTTACTATAATTTGCTCTTTTCTAGCTTCCGTTATCTCTTTACAAGCCTTATCATATGCCTTCCATTCAAGTTCACAAAGTTCACGATTTCCAATACCCTCCTCCTCATATGATCGACCAAGAGCATCTCCCGCTTTTTATTTCTTTTCTACTGCCCTGTCGTATACCTTCTCTACTTCTTTATACCACTTTCAGAGTACTTGTTCAGCTTTAGCTCTTCAGATTGGATTGACTTCTAAAAGATGTGGTCTGAAATTGTTACTTGGAATGTGTTCCAGAATGTGGCCTACAAATTCAGAGATTTTTAACAGGTTTTGCTTTCTGCATTGCTCAAGAAGTATCCCCCTATTGATAGTTAGTATAAGATCAGAGACTGTGCAGCCGAAGATTGTTGCAAGCTTTTCTGCTGTATACATGTTGCCTATCCTTATATATTACTTATGGTTTACTTATTGTTCAATTACTATTTTTTCTGACGGGCAGGACAGAGTTAGTCTTACTGGTTTTACAGACCTTCTAGGAGCTACCTGCTAACCTACCTGTTAATCTACCTGGTTTGTTATCTCACTACTTCTGACAGATGATTAGACTGAATCCTAATCATATGACAGATTTATAACAGTATGATAGATCTAGGGGGTAAAATCAAAAATATTTCTGGAGATTATCCTCTTCCAATATTTCTGAAACATCTGTCATATCTGTTATATCTGTCATACCCCTCTGATTCTCTCTTATTTTCCTCTCTTTTCCCTTATTTTATCCTTTTTTAGTATATTATTATATAACAGATGGAAGTGACAGATGGTGACAGATATGGGGATGCCTGAGCCCTATAGGGGCCAAGTAGGTACTGTGAGGCCGTGAGGCTGAGGTGGGTGGAGCCTGTGACACACACATCTAGCTCAACGACTTACAATATAACATGCTAGACTAAATAATTCACTCTTGACGTGATTTCCCGTACAAAGCAGTTCAGCACATAACTATAGCCACAGTTACAACAGAGCAAATTCAACAATACGCTAGATCAACTACTACTAAGATCTCAGAGAAATTCTTTGATGAAAAAGAAAAATTACCCAATGATGGATCTGAGGATGATGGAATCCATGTTGATAGTAGAGAATTCCCCAATTCTAGCCTATTAGGTAGAAATGATACGAAAGATGGTAATTTATTCAAACTCGTCTATGCATTACATATTTAATTTTTTTCTCTGTGACTCAGAATAATAGTCTTAGAAACAATCATAAATGCTAAGAATCCGCTTTTTATATCTGAACACGATTCTAACGATGCAACTGTTAATCAGGACGAAGTATGATTTTTTTAGTTATCAAGTTCAGACTAAATGTGGTAGCCCTATTATTTATGTCAAACAGTTAAGTAATATTCAATTTTGAAATCAATTACTAATATCTCTCTCCTCTATAGCTAGTACCATTAAAGAATACTCACAAGCGGTTATTTTCTGAGATTGGTGATGACTTGCCTTCATCCCATATAATGTCGGTAATGGAAAAATATCATGCAAAATCAACAATGTCAAAATACGAGTAAGCTTTGTTCTTGATAATAGATCCACTACAGATTACGTTTATTGAATAGTTTTAAATCTTACTATTTTTGTGAAGTCTTATGCACAGCCTTATTTTAGATCTCACTCCTTGTTCACAGATAGAAAAAAAGTTCAAACCCAAGTTTTGGGTGGAGCTTATAGCAGACCGACCACGCACCTGCAGTTAATGCCATATATTACGAAGAAATTAGATCAATTTGTGATCATCTATTTGGGCCTCTTGGTGAGAAATTAAGAAGCAAGGTGACTAAGTAAAGTGCATTTGAAAAATTCAAGCAGTATTGACCACAAATATTGACACATTTATGTTTTTGATAGAAGCTTCATGGATCCATGATAAATGGGTAAAAATAAGGGATTTAAAAGTACCAGAATATAATGAAGGTTTTTCATACAATGAAGAAGACTGAAAGAAGATCCTGTATTGGGTTGAACATGCTATTGGGACATTGTAAATCTCTTTTGCCAAGTTTAGCTTTCATTAAATGCATGATTTACCATCTTTTTTAGTCTAGATGCTTTTGAATCTGAATATAACCTAATTCAACAAAATGATTGTGAGGAAAGAGAGTAGTTTGAAGAATATGTCATTCCTATTTTTCAGGGTGCCCTAAAATTGAACAGTTTTTGTCGTGTTCCTTAGTAAGTTTCAATTTTTCTCATTACTTCCATTTCCTAGACTCAAATATCTAACTTTTAGGGGAGAAATTACAGTAGTCGCCAGTTGCTGAAGACGAAATGAAAACAAAAAGATATTAAAAGAATGTCTTGAACAGGTTATCTAGCGGATTTATTATGCAAAATTGATCAACAAGAAGTGGTTTGTGAACTAGCATGTGGTGGCCCACATAAATATGACCTTACAAAGTGGACGTCTGACAAATATCAGCTACCAAGAATGCTTAAGGATACATTGGATGATATATTAGAGAAATTTAGAGGTGTAAGTAGAGATTCATCAAATCTTTATACTATCGGAATTCAAGTGAGATAAGTCTTAAGTTCCTTTGTCAATATACAATTGGTCTTCATGGGAATACTGAATTTTTGTTTTGATTAGCTATACATGATAGAGATTCGAATATACATGATGGAAAAGCGTGATATATACCGATTTCATCTCCTGAAGTCGTTTAAACTTCTTCTATTATATTCATCTTATGATAAGCTACGTCTTACACTTTCTTGGGCATGGAATATAAGAGTAAGCCTTATTTTTTGCATTGTTTTAACTCTCCTAGTGGATCACTGTCACTTACTAAAAGGCATTTTCGTTCAGGGACTTGTGAAAGAACTGTCACTAAAATTGGATGATAGCACGATTGTTTCCTCTAAAACTTCTGAATGCCCTTTCAAAAAAGAAACTTAATCTTATCTATTGAATAGCCTTTCTCAGTAAAGTACCTAATAGTTAGGGGGAATTTTTTAGGCTTTCCTCCTAGACATTCTACTAATTTATCTAATCCCATTCCCATATGCTGAAAGCTATCAAGAAATCAGAGCTGGCTAACATCTATGGCTTTGTACTTTCCTATATTCTCTGGGATGCAATTTAGCTTATCAGCTGTGAACTTGCTCACAACTTTTATAATTGAATGAAAGTCATATCCCCAGAAATTATGACAGATAAGGGGTACTTTAGTTTTCAAAGAGCCTATCCACAACTTTTTATTACAAGTATCATGGGCTGGACCTCAATAGTTTCCATTTATATAGTCATAATCTTTTACTTTCGATTAAGTGCACTTAAAGCTTCTCGGTATCTTTTCTACGCTTCTTTCTTTTCAGGATGTTCCTTTTCCATACATGATTCCCATTATTTGATTTCTAATAAATTATGCTTTACTTTTTCAAGTTTTTGTACTACCTCTGGTGCTGGTTTTAAGAAAGGTCACTTACAAATCCAGCATTCAGTCACTTCATTATACACCTTCAAGTCTCCTGGTGCCATTATCATTTCAGCCGGTGCAGATAAATCTTCTTAGATAGCTAAGAGTTTCTCTTTGATTTTGAGGACAAATCTTTCTAGCGCATCAGGTCCTCTATATAAATCGTGACTTACAATTTCATAGTTAAGTAAACTATTTATACGAATACAATCAACTCCCTCTATAATCACTCCCGTTATAGTCACATTCTACTATATAGTCACACCAGTTGAATGTTCAAAACACTTTATTATTAAAATCTATCCTATATAGTCACAATCTATCTATAGTCACTATCACACCTATTCTCAAAAATCTTATATTAAAAAGAACCGTTTATAATCACAGTTATATAAAGAATATATTAAATAACTTGGCATCTAATAATCGTACAAAGATGTATCATAGCTTGTTAGAATCGTCTCACTGAGACGAATCGAATGGTGGTAGTTTTATCCTTTTCCGATCACTGGCTGACGAGTTATTCAACAAAATGTTAAACATCGGCATTATAATATTTCTTGATTTACGTTTACTGCGCCATTTAACATTTTGCTAGATTTCTCGGTACCTAGTGATTGTAAAAAGACGATTTATAGCTCGTTGGAATCGCCTCATCGAGACGAATCGAATGGTGGTAAGCTCATCTCTCTGTGATCAATATTGACGGAGTTATTACTTAAAAACCATTTAATATTTTTTAATTTCGGAAATTGATCTAGTGATTGGATTTCGATGTATCTTATACCATTAGATTCGTCTCATCAAGACGAATCGAATGGTAGTAAGATCGTCTTTCTAGGATCAATATTGGCAGAGTTATTACACAAAAACCATTAATATTTTTTTAATTTCGGAAATTAATCTAGTGATTGGATTTTGACGTATTTTATACCATTAGAACCGTCTCATTAAGACGAATCGAATGGCGGTAAGATCATCTCTTTACGATTAATATTGGTTAAGGTACGATACAATAAAGTTTTAAGTATAATTCTGGCTAAAATTATGTTAATTTTGGGCCGGAATTATGATATACAAATATAAGAAATTTTTTATATAGTCACATCTCTTTATAATCACCAAATATGGACTGTCCCAAATGTGTGACTATAAAGAGAGTTGACTGTAATCACATAGCAATAACCACATGGCTTATGCATTTGTAGCCTTTTTGTATGGATTAACTTTGTTTTCTCTTCTGGAGTCAGCTTTTCGGTTAGCATTTCAAGATCCCAGATTATTCAATATGGATTTGGTTGCATGCATTTATGATTATAGAAAGCTTTGACACTTCTATTCTTCACCAGCATTTGTGGTCGTTGGGGGCATTATTTAGACCCTTGCATTTTGGTAAATGTTTATTATATCTTATCTCTGAAGAGTATACATGAAGACAATATCGGCAGATGTATTTTCATCCTTTATGCTTACTATGATTGTACACTAACTTGTGAAGATCTTTAATAATACAGTAGTGGTTTTTATCTTCTTTCATAATTACTAAAAGATTTACAGGCCTATATTTATCTCCCCTTCTCTCTATCTGAAACATAATGAAAGTCTAGACATTTGTTCTGGTTATGCCACTTATAGACACATAGGCTGGTATCAGGATTACTTTGCTGAAACTTGGAGTTTACAATCGATATTGATTAGATATCGCAATGATATCATTATGATATCATTACGATATTTTGATAAAAAATAAATTCAACATCGTTAAGTTAGTCGTAACTGTATTTATTCGACATTAATTAGTTCGATATCTCTGCGATATCGCTGCGATCATTATGCGATGTAAATATTATCATGTAACCACATTGTAGTGATGTTGTATTAACATTGAATTAATATTACAAAAATATTTGACATTTATTTGATATCGTAACTATGTCATAGTAATATTGTATTAATATTGAATTAATATTACAAAATATTTGACATTTTATTTGATATCGTAACCACATCATATTAATACTATCGAATTAATATTGAACATTGAATTAATATTACAAAATATTTAACATTTTATTTGATATCGTAACCACATCGTAGTAATATCATATTAACATCGAATTAATATTGCAAAAATATTTTACATTTATTTGATATCGTAGCCATATCGTAATAATGTCATATTAACATTGAATTAATATTACAATTTTATTTGATATTGTATATTAAATAATATCATATTAATATCGAATTAATCTTGCAAAAATCGGGGGTTTAACCCTGTACCTCCAGGTACTAAACAAAGCCTAAAAATTCCGTTTTTTGCGAATATCTCACGATCTACCAGTCCAATTTGAATGATCTTTTTTTTATTTTGAAGAACTCAATAAGAGCTATCAAAAACAAAAAAAAGATGGCTCAAATCTGATCACTAGATCACGAGATAATTGTAAAATATCCCCCCGGGTACTATACAATTTTATGAAATTTTTCAAGGGGGTACTATGCATAGGAGTACTATGGCCCGCGATATATGTTAATATCGTAACTACATCATAATGATATTATATTAACCCCGAATTAACATCACAAAAATATTTTTATTGTAATATATGTTTATTATTTATTATACATTAATAATAATCATTTTTTATTAGTGGATTATTATGGGTGAGTGGAGTACGTTTCTTTTCTTCCTTTTTTTTTTTATTCTTTTCTTCTCTTTTTTATTCTTTCTTTTCGTATGTGAATGGATGGATACATTATTTTCAATTTTAAAATATATATATATATACTATAAAAAAAACAATCATAATTAATAAAATGTACTCTTTGTAAAATATATTTAAAATTTAATACATAACCTTGGGATAATAGTTAGAGCAGGTAATTCTGGGATTTTGTAAAGAATAATAAAAATGATAATATTTTTAAGTTAGTTCTTTCTTTAAATTTTTTTTGAAAGTATTTTGTTTCTTAAAATCATAATATTGTAAAAAAATGCTGGTTGCTACGACTGACGGACAACGACAAATTGTCAGGCTACCCCCGGACAAAGTAATTGGAAGGCAGAAAATGCCATAAATATCCAGCCCTATTTTACAACATTTTCTTCCAGGTTAAAGCAAATATTATAAAAGAAATTGCAAATATATTTAATAAGCAATAGATACATGGCCGTTGAAAAATATATTCACATTTATACTACAGTCTAACAAAAAAAGACTCAAACCATAACATATTATTGTAAAAAAATATATGAAAAATATGCGTATATCCTATTTTCACACCTTGCTTAACAGCTCCACTATTTATTTAAAAGCAGCTTTTCTCTCTTTTGTATGTAGATAGGTGGGTACATTTTTCCTTTCTTTTATTCTTTTCTTTCGTATGTGAATGGTGGGTACATTTTCTTTTCTTTATTCTTGCTTTTATTCTTGCTTTTCGTATGTGGGTGTCTTACTATATTAAATATATAAACTAAAGTGTTCCAAAGTATTGTTAATATTGTAAAAAGATAATTAAAGTATACTTTAAAAAGAAAAAAGAAGAGACGAACTAAAATACCATAAAGTGTTAATATAAAAGACAAGAGAAAAGCGTATTTTTGAAAATAAACAAAAAAAATCATTAATAAACGCAAATTTTAGCTATTTTTAGATATCACATGCATGTAATTAAAGTGATTTTAATTGGTTAATTTTAATTTATTATTACATTATGCATATGATTTTATTGGTTAATTTTAACCAAAATTTTATATGATACAAATTAAAATAATTATTTTATTATCATATTTATTTGGATTTTATTTCTATTTGCAATAACTTTTTAGCTGATCAGACTTTCGCAATTCTTAATTCTTTATGTGAATCAATGGTTCTTTTAGTTAAAGCACATTGAGACTTTTATCCTTTAATTCCACTATTACTTTGGCTTCATAGTTCTGAGCCAATAGAACATTTTTTTGGTATTGCACGTCAAATTAATTCAGATTTTGACTTTGTAGAATTAATTTAAATAGTTCCAAAAATCTCACAACACACAAAGGCTTTAAGAAATGAAAAGTTGAATTTTAATAAAGAAAAATCTGTAAGAGAAGGTCATTTCAGTTTTTTTAAATAATTTACAATTTTATATTATTTTGTTTATTTACATTATTATTTATTTGATTTATTTACATTATTATTTATTTTGTTTATAGGTTATCAATTCGAATGTAACTCTTAAACTCTGATTCTATTGATGATAATTCTTTAGAAATGCTTCGCTTATGGCCTGATGATAATCAAATTCTACAAATCTTAAATAATTCTTATCAACTTGCTCGTGAATTAGCAGAATTTCTTCAAATGCTTCAACCAGTAGAATTGCCTATTGTAATTAATGAGCCAAAAGTAGTAATTATTTTTGATGATAGATATCATAATTCATAATGAAGAATCACTAAGCATTAATCGTAGATATGAGCATGAAATAAAAAGTGAAACATCTGAAGGTGACGAATCAGATATTCCAGCTGTGTTAAACGAAGTATCTGTAATTATGAAACATGGTTCTGCAGAAATATTTGATAGTGATTATTCCGATCTAATATTTAATGAGGGACAGTTCCAACTTAAAAGAATTAATGAAAAACCAAATAACTTATCAATTATCAATGGTGGAGATAGTGGTAAGTTTTATTTTATTTACTTATTCATATTATATTATATATAATTATTAATTATAATTTTTTGTAGTTAATAATAAATACCAATTTCTTTTGGATGATAATCTGAACTTTGAAAGTTTAATTCTTCAAAGGTCTCATCATGAAGCTTATTGTTCAAAACCTTTAGAATGAAAAATAAAAAAATCAATATCTTTAGGTTTAAATTCATCAAATTCTATTATGCCAAATAAAGCCAGTAATTTAGTCTCTTTTTTTTCAAAAAATGAAGATCCTAATCAATATTTTGTAACTCAAAGAGAAAAATGATGGAAGGAAAATAGAAATAGTATTTCATTAACTCCTACTCAGTTGCATATTGAGGAATTAGAAAAGTTAAGAAACAAATAGAAGTCAAATAAAAAAAGATTCCAGCAATCTTTAATCGAAAGTAAGTTATTAAGTTATATATATTGATTTGTTATTGATTTTAAAAGGATTTAATATTAATAATTCTATAGTTCCAGATATAGAGAATGCTAATGTTTCAAGAGATGTACCATTAATTAAAGGAAACTATGTATTTGTTAAATATAGAAATCAAATGTGTATTGGCCAGATTATAGCTATTTATTATGAAGCTTATTCAAATCATTGTTTTGCCAATGAACCAATAACAACGTTAGATGATATTTCATATATTTCATTACATGTTTACATCCCTATTCATCTTGATCTTTTTAGTGATATAGTTCAAGAGGGTTGTTATATTTTAACGCATCATTTAGCATTTAATATTTTTTATCATATTTTACCGTCTGGCATTTTAATTGAAGGGAATATCTTAAAATTATTGGGTAATAAAAAAAAATATTATTTTGAATATTTCGGAAGAAAAGATATTATTGAGAAAATCTTATAAAATTATTAATGTAATATGTTTTATTTTTGTTTTAAATTTGATTAATAAAATTTATTGATTTTTAAAGATAAAGCTAATTAATTATAAAAATTTGAAAATAAAAAAATGGAAAATTTTATTAGGTTAGAATATTAAATTGCTTATTTTCGTATGATTTTTGAGGTTAGATATCAACAATGCTTAGCAATTATAGTAAAAACCTTTGCTTAGAGCTATTAGTAAAAAATATTTTTGGGACCTTACCTATATAAGGATTTTTCAGGGTCCTAATACAGATCAGATCAGATTTTTTTTGGAACACTAATTTTACCTTATTAGAAATTGATAACTTTTAAACTAATTCATTTTTTAATCAGCAAAAAATAAACAATATATTAGTTTCCTATTATTGATAAATAAAATTCTAATATATCATTAGTTTGTTAAAAGGTATCAGTAAATCATTAAATGGTTTGATAGTATAAAATTTTGTAATATTTATTATTATAATTTATAATTCATTAACGTGTATAATTCATATAAAAAATTAATTAATGGTATTTTACTTATTTAACAATTTACTGCTGAATTTATTTATTATTTATAAATATATATATAATTGAAATTAATTTTAAATATGTATTTTTCTATTAATTAGTATTATTGATACTATATATATTTTTTACCTATCATAAAAGAACCTTTAACAAATCAATCTAATATACTATACAGTCGACTCTGGTTATAACGAACTTGTTTGTACCGAAACCTCGCTATATCAAATCATAATTTCCAGAACCGATTTTTTATAAATAATTTCACTGGATATAATGAACTTTTATAATAAAACACTATATAACGCATCCGAACTAAACTTAACCAGCCCCTATATATCAGCTATATAATAACTTTATACTTTTTATAATGAACGGTCATGTGACTATATAGTAGTCCAGGCCAATTTTATAATGCTGGCCAGAATTACTAGTAATTTTTTCGAAAATTTATGTTAAAAGAAATTATAATTTTGGCCAGCATTACAAATTTGGCCTAAATTACCTATAAAGAAAACTAGTTCGGTATATTATATAACGAATTCACTATATACTGAACTAAACCTTATGGAACGGAAAGTTCGTTATATCCAGAGTTGACTGTATATTGGAATAATACAATCTCTGCTATATTCAAAAAATTCCTTTTTCCATAGTTCAATATTACAAGATTCAACTTTATCATTAATCCTACAGTAGAATCTAGTATTATGGTCATTTGCTGGAGTGAGTCTAGAGTTCCGAATAGGTCAGGTCAGGTGGGGTGAGTGCTGGGAAAAGGGACCAAATCGACATTTTATACATTTTGAGATAAATGCGATTTTGTGATTTCTGACGTAAATTCCAAATATTCGGATCACAAGACAAAAACCAGTTTATTACAAGACGAAATCCAGTTTTTATATCTGATCATTTGATGAGTTATTTATTTATACACAGTTTTATAATAAATACTGGTAACCGCATCTTTATTTTAAAATCTGAATAAAAAAAATATATTCTAATGCTTTCTTTTCTTTCTTTTTAGGTTCTTCGGCTTTCTTGGTTCTGCGGTCAAGGTATTTTCATTATTTTTCGTTTATTTGTTTCTTTGTTGCTCCATTTCGTTTCTAATGCTTTCTTTTTTTTCTTTTCAGGTTCTCCGGCTCTTTTCGGTTCTGTGGTCATTGGTCAATTTATTTTCATTTTTTTTCGGTTGTTTTATTTCTTCGTTTCTCCCTTTCGTTTTAATTTTGTTTCTAATAATGCTTTCTTTTCTTTCTTTTTAGGTTCTTCGGCTCTCTCGGGTTTGCGATCAAAGTATTTTCTTTTTTTTTATTTGTTTGTTTCTTTGTTGCTCTATTTGTTTACTTTTGTTCCTAAACTAATGCTTTCTTTTTTTTCGTTTTAGGGTTCTTTGGCTCTTTTCGGTTCTGCAGTTAAGGTATTTTCATTTTTTTTCGTTCTTCATTTCTCTATTTCGTTTTAATTTTATTTCTAATGCTTTCTTTTTTTTTCTTTTAAGGTTCTTCGACTCTTTTTTGGTTCAGTCAAGGTATTTTCATTTTTTCGTTTGTTTCTCTATTTCGTTTTAATTATGATTATGTCTCTAATGCTTTCTTTTCTTTCTTTTTAGGTTCTTCGGCTCTCTCAGTTCTGCGGTCAAGGTATTTTTATTATTTTTCGTTTGTTTGTTTCTTCGTTGCTCCATTTTGTTTCTAATGCTTTCTTTTTTTTTCTTTTTAGGTTCTTCGGCTCTGATGGGTATTATCAAGTACACACGATGGTTGCAATGAGATATTAATCAAAAATCGATTATATGTTGTTTCCCTACTAATATAATCTCATTTCGACTTTCGGCCACAAAATTTATCGTATGTCTTTTTTTTCATTTTGCTTCTTGCATTTTGTTTCCTACTAACTTTATTTCGTTTTTTTAGGTCCTTTGGCTCTTTCGGTTTTGCAATTAAGGTATGTCCAGCACTACATGGCCGTTTCTTCTTATTTTTTTATTTCATTCTTATATTTCGTTTCTTACATTTTGTATTTCGTTCTTTTTAGGTCTTTCGGTTCTTCTCTGCAACTACTAAGGTATGTTTTTTATTTTTTTTTGTTTTTGTTTATTTATTACATGTAATTTCCGTTCCCTATTAACTTTATTTCTTCTTTTATTTTATGGGTTTGGTTTTCACTTGGTCACCTGTTACTTTCGTATTTTTTTTGTTTCCACTTTGTTTTTTCCGTTCCTTTCTTTTTTTTTCGTTCCCATTTCGTCTTTTTCATTCCTTTACACTACTCTTCGTTCCTTCCATTTTTATTCCATTCCCACTTCATCTTTTTCGTTCCTTTACACTACCTTTCGTTATTTTCATTTTTTTTTTCCATTCCCACTTCATCTTTTTCATTTCTTTACACTACCCTTTGTTCCTTTCATTTTTTTATTCCCCCTTTACTACATTTCGTCCCCTTCATTCTTTTCATTTTTTTTTTCATTCCCACTTGTTCTTTTTCGTTCCTTTCATTTCTTTCACTCCCCCTTTGCTCCATTTTGTTCCTCCTTCGCTCCCCCTTCGTTTCTTTCATTCCCTTTCACTCTCCCTATTTTTTTCATTCACCCTCATTCTTTTTTCCTTTTTCATTCACTTATTCTCTTTTATTTATCGTTGCGACTCATTTTTTTTATAATTCCTATCAAAAAATTTAAAAAATTTACAGGGGATTTATATGCAAATTACGAAGTGAGAAATATTGAATTTTATTTAATAAATTAATCATGAGTGAAATCACCCTTAGGTGATTTCACCCTGAATGCAAATTAGCAACAGTCTTAAATATCTATCTAATTTTCAGATTTGTCTTTACTAGGTTTTGGTATAAGTGGTTTTGAACAATATTGATCTTTTTTATCTGGATGAGTAACATGTTCACGGATTTGCTCATATAAGTACCATTGTCGTTCTGCAGATAATTTCTTTGGTAACAATATATTTGGAAAACTAATTAAAGGAGTTATATTTTTTTTAAGAATTGAAATTTCTATTTTTTCTCCATCAACTTTTGTTTGAACATTTACTATTCCATTTTTTTCATTTGAAATTTCAAAATGATGCTGCTGAAGGATTTGTGGTATTTTAGTAAATTCTTTATTTAAAAATTCAGTCCATTTATAAAAAAGAACTTTTTGATTTCCACCTAAACCATAAATTGTTTGTGCTGTATTAAATCCTCCAGTAGTAGAATTATGAACTACTTCTACCATATCAGAAAGATCTTGAACTTCTGAAACTCGCATTTTTAATTTAATTAATCCAAAAAATCCATCTGGAGAAAACTTTGTATGACCAGCTACCATAAAGCAGTATTTAATCCGATCATGTAAACCATTCATTACTCTCCATGTTAAATATTGAATCATGGCATTATTTTTGTTTTGACCTGAACAATTATCAGCATGAACGATTAGGTATTTTTCTCCAAGACCATGGGTTTTAAAATAATGATGGACCAAAGAAATTACAGCATCTGCACCTTTTCCCACATTTTCATTTTCTTGTATTAAATAATTTTTCTATAAAATATATTATTAATTTTATTATTAATTAATTTAATTTTATATATTTTTTTTTAGTTTATATAATTAAACTATACCTGTTGGGGAAAGGCTTCTTCACAAATTCCAAAAATAGAAACTTTCCATGGTGATTTAAAGTAAATTGATCCCTAAAAATATTAATAATATTAATATATAATAAAAATGCTAAGTTTTTAATTATTTAATATTTAAACTTTTACCTCTTGTTGTGAGGAGTAGGGAAGGTGAACACCTTCAGCAAAATCCCATGAAATATGATTTTCAAATTCTAAAGAATTTGAAACTCCAGGACGTATTATTAATTCTTTATCAATTTTTGTTAATTGATCTTTAGAATTTTTTATACAGTTTCTTAAATAAATATAAAATATAAATTAATATACAAAATTGTAAAGAATTTATTATTAATAAGTTACTAACCTATAATAATCTCTTTCTTGATTAGCCCATGTAATATGTTCATGCCATTCTTTTACTTTATCATCCTTTTCATCTTGATTCCAAAATTGTGTATTGAACCTCATATTTTTACAATGAAAACACAAATCACTTCTAGGAGATAAAAATTTAATTTCTGGAATATATTTTTTCCAAACTCTTAAAAAGGTCCAAC